CATCACATCAATAACTTTTCCTTCTTTTTCAACCACACATTCTCCATCAATCTACTATTCCAAAATACATTCTTCCAAAATAATATTCATCAAACACACCTTAAAATAACTGAGTTGCTTGACACCATTGGATCAAATCAAGACTCATTTTGACCGCTGGTTCCCTCCTCACTTCTAAGGCACGAGAGAAATTGAGAGAGAATTCAGTGTTCTTCTTCTATCTTTTATCTTCATCTCTTACTTCTTGTTTTGACCACTGGTTCTCTCATGACTTCTGGGGCACAAGAGAAGTGTGTGTTTGAACCACATTATTTTGAAAAAACGTATTTCGAAATAGTAGATTGATGAAAAATGTGTTGTTGAAAAAGAATGAAAAGTTATTGATGTGATGAAAAATATTATTTTATTGAAGAATGTGTGACTGAAAATGAGTAGAAGAATGCGAATGAAAATTTTAATGTGGCTCAAACAGGGACTGAGAGAGAATTCAATGTTCTTCGTCTATCTTTTATCTTCATCTCTTCCTTCTTGTTTTCTGTTCTCCGAGTAAAATCGTGAGAAAAAGGAAGGTTTCATTAAGAGGTAGTGAGCAATAACCTTGTAGTATTGGTTTGTACGAGAACCGACAACAATTCTTTTGCAAGAAAATTACGATTACTTGATTTGCTACTATCTAACACTTTGCTCAAATTTCCCTTAGATTGCATATCGTTTAACCCGTTTGTAAGAACTAAACTTTACTAATTGAGACTTGCATGTTGAAAATCATAGTTTTTTTTTTAGAATTTGGGCTCCTAAATCTTAGCAAGTAATCAATTTTTTTCATTTATAAGAGTTTTATAGAACTAAATTTGTTAACTCAAAATCAACAGCAAAATAACAAAATGAAATATTTAATATATATATTACAATCAAATAAGGAACTAAATTTGTTAACTCAAAATCAACAACAAAATAACAAAATGAAATATTTAATATATATAATACAATCAAATAAGAATGCGAAAATATTCTACATGTTCACTTAAATACAACTCGTGTTGCGGTCTTAGATGTAAAAATATCAATCAATTTTGAATAGTCGAGTTGTTCAATCATTTCTTTTTCAATAGATAATATGGTCAATCCGTTCAATTTTTGTTGTGACATAGTTGATCGGAGATAAATCTTGATCAATTTCAAGTTGGAGAAACTTTTTTATGTTGATGCAACTGTAATCAATATGGCATTTGACTCACTTGTTTGACCATTCGCTACTTTCCTAAATATTCCATTCCATATGTACAAAATCAAACCAAAATTTTTGTTTCTATTCTACGGTTTTAAGATATTTATGAAGCCAAATTTGTGTTTATATAAAAAGAAGTGTCCAAACAATTTATAAACAGAAAAGGAAAAAAATAAAATAATAAGTGACTATCAATGTTACTAAATTAGCTATAGCGGGAGAAGCTTTCATTCAATTACGTGTATGGTAAATACACGTCGCACTGATAATTAATTCAATTTTAAACGAAATAGGAAATAAACTTCTTGTCTGTAAAAATGGTTAAATTTCAAACATTTCTCACTTTGCACAGGGCTCACAACTTTTAGAGAAAAAAAAATTGTTATTACAACAACAATAACGATATATCATCCAAGAATATAAATATTTTCATAATGTAACAAAATAAAATTAAAAAAATTAAATTATATCATATTTAGCCATATATTGCACCAAATTATCCCATAGAAGGCGCACATTCACATTAACTAATAAGGGATCATAGATCGAGAAAAAAATTATAAACAAAACTATACAGTAATCAACTATCTATATATCTATATATATATATATATATAATTTGTGAATTTAAGAAGTCTCATTGTTCGGAATAATCGCACAAGAATGGACGAGTATAAACGACAATGAATTTTTAAAATAAAAAAGGAAACAAATTTTTATTTTTTTTGCACCTCCCCCCGCCCCCAAAGAGCCAAGCTTGAGGCGGCGAACTCATGGGCCTCTCCTCATGTACCGCTATGGCGCACACACAATTTCTCCAAATTGTTGCAAGGCAAATTTGAAGTTTAATTTTCATGCATGAATAGTAACTATTTTATTTTGAACATGTAACTTACCCAAACAATTCAACTCAAGTAATATGACCACAATTTGAATTGCAACGCGTGGATCGTACGAGGCTACACCTACACTAGTAATCAACAAAAATCTCTTTACGTAAACAGCAAAAAAAAAAAAAAAATTGATTAAAGAACCTCCCACGTGGAAACATAGTTTTCAAATTTTTAGGAAAATTCTTGCTTTGACTTCCCCATTTTCGTCTCTAACGTGTTCGAAAAACTTTTATATATATCACTTCCGATGCTCAGGTGAAGTGTGAAAAATAAAATAAAATCATATACATGCATACAGGGGCGGACCCGGGGGGTCCCCAGTCCCCCCCAACTTTTGATTTTTTTTTATATATATAAAATTATATTTGGTATCGATTGAAATTTAAATTTTAATCTAAATCAAAGTGAACAATTAATTTTAATAACATATTTCACGGAATCCATAACTATTTAACTTTTATCAAAATTTACTAAAAATTTGATTTTAATCTCCACCAAACAGGATAAAATCACAATTAATTTGAATTTCGATAACAAACTAATTTTAAAAATTCTCCAACAATCGTACG